AAGAAACACAAAACAGATGTAACAATGGAAATTTTAGTATAATGTGTGGGAGACTTGATGATTCCTGGGTCACACTATTTTCACACAAATAACATAATCAGGAGATCCACTTCTAATGGTTTGTTATAGAAATAGAAAGGATACATGTGTCATTTACATTAATTGTTTTCTCATTTTTATCATTTCTCCTAGAGATTATTGTCTTAAGGGGAGCTATTTCTCCTTCATGTCTGTTAGTCAACACCTTTGTTTCCTAATCTGTTGAACCTTGTATCTGTTGGAATTTGTGTGATTAATGCTAAGTAATTACATTGATATTATGCAGTCTTTTCATATACACATCATATTGTCTAGTGATTGAAATCCTCTTCTCACTTTCCTCTTTTGTAAAAGAAGATATCAACTCTAGTCAAAGAATCACTTACCTTTTGAGAAGTCTGAAAAATTTGTCTTCTTAATTATAAACATTTCTGAAAGATGCAATGATCTTTGGGTGATTTAATATACTGATTACTTCATGTATGCTCCAGCATTGTTGAATAGGCTTTTTTTGAAAAACTGAAATATCAAATATCACATGAAGAGACAGTATAGCAAAACGTATGAAGTGCAGTGAAAGCAGTGATCAGAAGGAAATTTATAGTTGTAAATGTCTACATTGAAAAAGAAGAAAGATCAGTAACCTAACTTTATACCATAAGAACCTAGAAAAAGAAAAGAAAACCAAACCCAGTGCTAGCAGAAGGAAGGAAATAATAAAGATTAGAGCAGAAATTTTTTAAAATAGAGAAAAGGAAAACAATAGAACCAACAAAATCAAAAGTTGCTTCTCTGAAAAGATAAACAAAATTGACAAACCTTTAGTTATATTGACTAAGAAAAAAAGTCTAATTACTAAAATCAGAAATGAAAATAGGGAGCATTACTACCAACCTTACAAAAATAAAAGGGTTTACAAAAGAATACTGTAAACAGTTGTATGCTAAAAAATCAGACACTGTAGAAGAAATGGACAAATTCCTAGAAACATACACACCACCAAAACTGAAGAAATAGAAAATCTGAACAGAACTAAAACAAGTAGATTGAATCGGTAATAAAAATCCTCCCAAAAAAGAAAAACACAGGACCAAATGGTTTCACTAATGAATTTTACCGATCATTTAAAGGAGAATTAACACCAGCCCTTCTCAAACACTTCTTAACTCATTCAACGAGGCAAGAATTACCCTGATACAAAACTAGAGATATCACAGGAAAAAGGAAACTACAGACCAATATCCTTTTTGTATATTAATGAAAATTTTTCTACAAAATACTAGCAAGCTACAAATCCACCACCGTGTTAAAAGGATTGCACACCACGACTAACTGGGTTTTATTTTAAGAATGCATGTGTATTAGACATATGAGAATTGATCATTCATTAATTAGAATGAAGGGGGAAAAGTCACTCAGTCATCATCACATTTGATGCAGAAGAAGCATCTGACAAAATTCAACACCCTTTTAAGATAAAACACTTCACAATACTAGGAATAGGCAGGAACTTCCTCAATTTGATAAAGGTCATTTGTGAAAAACCCACACCTAATACCATGCCCAGTGGTAAAACATGAAAGCCTTTCCTCCTATGATCAAGAACAGGACAAAAATGTCTACTTTCACCACTTTCATTCAACATTTTACTGTACGTTCTAACCAGAGCATTTAGGCAAGAAAAAGAAATAAAAGACATCCAAATTGGAAAGGAATAAGTAAAAGTATCTCTGTTTGTAGATGATATGATCTTTATACATAGGGAATCTATAATAAAATTATTAGAGCTAATAAATGAATTTAGCGAAGTTTCAACATCAACACACAAAATTTAGTTTTATTTCTTTACGCTGATGAACAAACCAAAAATAAAATTAAGCAACAACTCAACTTACAGTATCATCCAAAAGAATAAAATACCTAGGAATAAATTTAACTACAAGGTGTAAGACTTGTACACTGGAAACTACAAAGCACTGCTGAAAGAAATTAAAGAAGACCTAAGTAAAAGGAAAAATATTCAGTGTTCATCAATTGGAAGACTTATTGTTGTTAGAATGGCAATACTCCCCAAAGCAATCTACAGATTCGATGCAACCCCTATCAAAATTCCAATGGCATCTTTTTGCAGAAATGGAAAAGCTGGTCCTCAAATTTATATGTAACTTCAAGAAATCCCGAATAGCGAAAACAGCATTGAAAAAGAAATGTAAAATTGGAGTACGCATACTTTCCAATTTCAAAACTTAATACAAAGCTACAGTAACCAAAACACTGTGGAACTGGTATAAGGTAGACCTATAGACCCATGTGATAGAATTGAAAGTCCAGATAGAAACCCGAACATGTATGACCAATTCATTTTTAACAAGGGTGCCAAGACCACTGAGTTAGGAGATACTGTTTTCCTCAACAGGTAGTGCTAGAGCAACTGGATATCCACATACAAAAGAATGAAGTTGGACCCCCTACCTTACACTATATACAAAAGTTAATTCAAAGTGCATCAGTGATCTAAGTATAAGAGCTAAAACTATAAACTCTTAGAGGCAAATGTAGGGATAAATCTTCATTACCTTGGATTTGACAGTGGATTCTTAGATATGGCATTAAAGGCACAAGAAACAAAGGGAAAAATAAGTTAGACTTCATCAATATTAAAAACTTGTGAATCAAAGGACATTATCAAGAAATGAAAAGACAACCTACAAAATGGGAGAAAATATTTGCAAATCAGATGTCTGATAAGAGTCTAATATACAGAACAGAACATATAAGAACTCTTAGAATACCACAGCAGAAAGGCAACTCAATTCAAAAATGGGCAAAGGACTTGAATAAACATTTTTCCAAAGAAGATATACAAAGGACCATCAAGCCCAAGAAGAGTTGTTCAGCATCATTAGTCACGAGGGAACTGCAAATCAAAACCACTTCACACCATGAAGATGGCTATAATTTAAAAAACAGAAAGTAACAAGTATTGGTAAGGATGTAGAGAACTTAGAACCGTCATACAATGAAGTGTAAAATTGTGCAGTCACCATGGAAAACAGTTTGGCAGTTTCTCCAAAAGTTAGACAGATTTTGCCACGTGACCCAGCAACTCCATTCTTAAGTGTATAACCAAAAGAATTGAAAAGAGATACTCAACAAATACTTGCACACCAATGTTCATAGCAACACTATTCACAATAGTCCAAAGCTGGAGAAAACCAAAATGTTACATCAATGGATAAATGCATGAACAAATTGTAGTATACCTGTCCAATGGAATATAATTCATTCCTAAAAAGAAACGAAGTACTGATACATGCTGCAACATGATGAACTTCAAAAACATTATGCTAAGTGAAAGAAGCTGGATGCAAAAGATCACATATTAGTTATTCCATTTATATGAAATATTCAAAATAAGTTAAATCCACAGAGACAGAAGCAGATCAGTGGTTGTCAGGGGCTGGAGGAGGGGAGGAATGAAAGTGACTGTTTGAATGGGTATGGAGTTGCCTTTTGGGGTGACGAAATGTTCTGGAACTAGCTGGTGATGGTTGTACAACATTATGAATGTACTAAATGTCACTGATTGGAAATGTTAAAATGGTTAATTTTATGTTAATTCCACCTTAGATTTTTAAGCTGAAACACAAATATTACTTAAAATTATTAAATAGTGTGACAAACTGAAATGAAAGTCTTTCTGGAGGCAGGGACTGGACTATTATGACTAGCAGTATAAAGTTCTACTGATTCTTTCTAACCAGAGCTGAGGTTTATTTCTCAATACCTTTATGATGCTCAGTAGCTGGAATGACAACTACCAACAGTATGGTGATAACAGTAAGGGGTATTATTGACTGGGAGAATAGTGAATATATGAGAGAAATCACAGCTCTTTTCATGTGAGAGCATCTTCTCAAGTATATCTAACACCCTTTCCAATTGAGGTCTTCCTTTTCCCTCAGCTACCAGAAAGCTTGAAAACAAATTCTGCCAAATTAACTTCATTTGCTTTATGACACGGTCAATTCGTTAGTAGGTCAGAGCTGCTGAATCTCTGGATTTCAGTGAAGTGCTTGACACAGTTTCATGACATCACTGTGACATACATTAGGGCTCTCTCCTCAGCCTTGTCATCCTGGACAAGGATAAAAATGGATGATTATTATGGATCAAATATAACAAGATGAATTTTATCAGAGATAAATGTTAAGTCTTGTACTTGGAACCAAAGAACACAAACTGAACAAAGAAACCATTGGAGGGACATGACTTAAGAGCAACTTATACAGTAAAGAGTAACAGGGTGTGATTACTCTTAACCTCTCAGTATGAGCTAGCTAGCACAAATGGGTTGTTTAAATGTAGTGTTGAAAACTACTCTGCATTAATAAGGCCACATCTGGGGCATTATTCTCCATTCTCCTTTGCAAGAGACTTTGACAAATGGAAAATCTAGAGGTCTGTATCAGGGATGGTGAGGAGGACATTCAAACCATGTCATGAGACACAGTTGAAGAAAACAGGAATGGCTAGTCTTGAAAATATTGGCACTCTTCAAACAATGAGAGCTTTCCAAAAAGGAAAAAAAAAAATGGAAAAAGAACAGAATTGACTACCTTTTGTGGTCATGAAAGCATTCAAGCAAAGGCTGAGTGGCCATTTTTCAAAAATGTTCTTGATGATTAAAGAGTGGAACTACATAGTAACTAAAGTATCTTTCAACCCTCAGAGTGTATGGATCTACATAATTACTAGAAAGCAGGCAACATGAGGATGGGGAAAAAGAGAAAATACAGGTTTAAACTAATGGTCTAATAAAATTCAAGTAAGTACTTAGATACTTCCTAAATTCAAGTGTTTGTTGAAGTTACTATAGATAGTTCAGGAGTGATGTCATTTTCAGATCTGGGTTCATAATCAATGAGAAGATAACTTGTTTTTTTGGCCTTGTTTTATAGTCTAGTCTCCTGAGACAAGATCTAGGGCTTGGAAGCCCAGCACAAATCTCTTCTTCAGGAAAACCTGGGACACCGTACTACTCATTCTCTGCCACAAGTTCCAGGAGAAGACCACTCCATGACTCTGCAGCACTTGGTAAGTGTATCACACAACAAACCCCATTTTACAAATGTTTCTTCCCTGCCCCACTCCCCCTTAGTCTATGCTTCTGGCTGTACTTTTAATTAGAAGAAATTTGGTTTCTTGGGTATCACGATGATATTGGGCCTTATTTACATAAAATAATATATCATATATTTTTATTTGGTCATCAGTATAAGAGGAACTGAATAGTGAAAAATGGAACTTTTAAAATGGGATTAGTTTTTCCTCTTGTAATAAAAATGTCATGTACTAATATTAACACCTTATTCTTGACTAAAATTGATATAATGCTCAACAGTTTACAAAGTGGTTTTATAGTATACATTCTCATTTCATCCATACAGCAGTCCTAGTAGTCAGTGGATGTAATACTAGCTTTAACATAAAATTGAGGCTCAAAAGAGGACACATTCATATAACTAGAGGTGATTTATGCAGGATACAATTTAAGATTTTCTGACTCCAAGTCCAATGTTCTTTGCATATTAATTGCTTCCACTCCCCACTTTTTAAAAAATTGAGGTAAAGTTAGCATAACAATTATCCATATTAAAGTGTACAATCCAGGGACATTTAGTATATTTACAAAACTGTACAGCCATCATCTCTAGCTCCAAAACATCACCTCAAAAGGAAACTCAGTAACTATCAAGCATGCAAATCTCATTTTCTTTAGCTTCCTTCTTTTATGTCTTATACATAGCCTAACCAGGCCAATCTGTTTTGTGTTGCTGCTTACAGCAAGCCTCAGGTATACTCTGACACCTTATCCAGTCAGTGTTTAAATGTGGGAATTTTTGGTTATTCTTACCAAAGAATCCTTTATATAAGAAAATTGAAGTTATAAAGCATGTTTATATTAAGGTTAGACCAGCTTCTGAAATAAACATAGTCCACCAAAAGAAAGTATGTCCCAGTTATTTGTTCCACAAATACTTGTTGACACCCCTAATTTGTATGTCTACCTCTGTCAAACCTAAATTTTGGTAAAATATCCCTAGCCTTTGGGTCTAGAATATGCTTGAGGGTGTAAAAGGGCACAGTGATGGATTGTCATACTAGGCATAGAAAGCTCTGGTTAGATATGCCCACCTCTCAGTGTTATGGGTGGTTGAGTATATGTACTGTTAGCTCCGATGATTTAGACCACTGCACTCATTAAGGAAATGGTAAGTTAAAGTATCTTTTCTCCATCTCCACTTTTGTTTCCCACCAAATTAGTTAGTCAGGGTAAGAACATTCTTTTGAGTCTAGATGTGGCGGTGTCACTCTAGAAAAATATCTGTTAGTATGCTATGTGAGCACACACTGTGATAAAAAGCACTAATATAGACCAGTATACTATTACTAAGAGTTCAAGGAGGAAATAAACTATTGGAATATTGAGGGCAGGGAGGGGGAGTGGATTTCATAAATACTCAAGCTTTCCAGAAATTAAAGCTTATATATTCTTCATTTTCATTTTGATTATGATAATGCTAGGTACTATGGATTATTTCTTCTATGCCAGGTACTGTGTATACATACTGCATCTTTACAAAAACTCTATGAGGTTATAATATTAACGTCATGTTGCAAATAAGGAACCAAGACCCTGGAAGCTAAGTAACTTAGCCAAGCCTTGGTATCCAGGGAGGTGCACTCATCTCCTGGGTGAATACCGTTTAGTGGATTATTATTCCATTCTTTATTGTTATTTCTCAGTCTTAGACACTCTTTCTCGGCATTGCAGTTATCCATAAAATCTCTGAAAGGACTTCAGAGATAATCTACGCCAATCTTAACATCTTCTCAAGCTATTTAGATGCTTTAGGAAATCAACATTCTGCAAAACAGTATCTAACTTATAATACTCTTGCCACAGTTTTTAATATAAACCTAGTAATAATGGCTAAAATTTATTGTGTCATTTTCTGTTAGGCACTTCCCTGAGCATCTTTCTGTATTATATTTATTGCAATAACTCCAGGAGGTTATTGTAGGTAACTGAAGTTCTAAGAGGTTAAGTAACTTGCCCAGGCTCACACAGCTGCTGTGTGATGGAGCTGAAATTTGAATCCAATCAGCTTACTCTCTTAACTATTACACTTTGAAACCTCCCAAAAGTGAACTCTGTATCCTAAGTTCATGATTTTGAATCCAACATTATTTATATAATTGTAGAGTGGCAGCTAATGATGAGATTAAAAATATAAAAGAAAAATTTCCATTCCCATGGCAGTGAAGAACTGTCCTTATCTAAACAGCAATGTATTCTACTGCTAACTACCCCAAAAGAGAGTGATGGGCTCCAGACTGATAGGAACAGTTCAGTTGACTCTCTTGGTATGTATGGAGTGTGGCTTTTGCTCAAGGGATACTGTACTAGTTGTGAAAAGTTGGGTTTTAGAAAAGCCTCACAAAGAACAAAAATTTTGCCTGTAAGTTTTATAAATATAGAGTGTGCCAGATGTTGTTTATCTTTGGCACTTTTGTTTTAAGGAAATATAGGCTGCCTCTTGGGGTAGGGAATAGATGCTAATGAGTGTTTTTTTCCTCTTTTTATTGTATAAAATTTTCCATGTGCTACTTACAAAGTTGCTTTTTTAGCCTTGCAGCCTCCTGGGATATTCACTATAAAGATTCCCAGCCCCAATTTAAATGGGTTTCATTCTTTCTTAAACAACTGCATGTTTTATTGTCATATCATTTATGACCCAGGAAAATACCATTTTTACAGTTCTAATTTTTACAGTTTTCAAAAACATTGTAATTAACATCAGCCTTCTTATGCATTCTCTCTTCTTAATAGTGAACCCCTCTGAAAAATCCTGAATTTGATCCATTATTTGTGTACGATTGGAAAGGTGCAATTAACACCATTTTTTACAATAAATAAGATGAACAAGTATTAAATTTTACAGATAAGTAAAAGTAAAATACCAAGTAAGGTCGTTAGGCATATGAAAATATTCATATTCTCCATTATATTAATAAATAATTTGTGTCTTAGAAAGAAATATACTTTAGTTATTTCTTGGAAATAAATATAAATATCCAAGGATAAAATTGTATAATAATTAGTGCTGAAGTTGCAGTTTTAACCACACATTGTTAAAGTAAATGTTCTTATAGAATACTTACAGGATGATATCATACATGACAATGCCTGTATCTAATAGTTTATGTAGCATATTTCAGATATTATTATAACCTTAATTTTTCAGTTATTAAATTTTATTTCAAATTTTTAACATAATACCTTATAGCATTAGCATTAGCTTTTAGTCTATTTAATATGCTTTTAAACCTAATTCTCAATGTGATATGAACACTAAATTTGTGTCTCTCTTAAGGAGTCATATTATTAAACTGACCTGTTGTACCAAATGCCCCTCTGCAAATGAGCTGAGATAAATGATGTAAAGTGCCTAATATGGAACCTTGCACATAATAGGTGCTTAAGAAATATTATTCCCTTTTCTCACACATGCTTATTGGTTTGTTATTTTCTTTCTTGTTTTACTTTGCTGTCATCTTCCCAAACTTATGGGATATGTATTTCAGAATATATCACTTCATTAGGCGTACCTGTTTTGCACTGGAACCAGTTAGAAAGAATGAGACCCCTATCCCTGTATTCCCTTACTTACTTCTAAATGCTGGAAGACAAGAAAGGTACTAGGAGGAAAAATTCTTTCCTGCTCATTTGAAGTCTGAAACTTTTCTAATATAAATGCTGATGAACTATACTGTTTCCCACGTGCAGATCCTTTGCAAGCAAAGAAAGTCAGAAAGGTGCCTCCTGGCTTGCCTTCTTCTGTAAGTACCCATTTTTTTTGACTTTGTGGTAAACAAACTGATATCACGTATTCAGTATCTGCTGGCTGTAAGGATACATTTGGTTGGTATCAGTAGGCACACTTCACATAGTAACTGTTCTCTACTTAACGGAATCACTGATTGAGTTAAATCCAAATTCAGTGTTAGGTTTTTAAGATTTCTCTTCAGTGATTTGTAGCTTACTCATACGCTTTTACTCCATGGCCCTGTCATTTGAATTCCCCTCTTGGGAAGAGGACTAGGCTGGTAGCTGTCAAAGAAGATCTCCTGTACAGGTCTTTTGATGTTTAATTAGTCATTATGTTGCTGAACAGGAGGACAGACAGAGATTAATAGCTGAGAATCTTAGAAATTTACATTTGTAATAATCCCAATGGAGCTAAAGACATTAAGATTCGGAGGACATGTTCGGCTCAGCTTGCCTCAGTAGGACTGAGGTTATTAATATGCATAAATCACCAAGTCAGATGTTCATTGTGAAGCCCTTGTGGATTTTAAAGCCTTCATTAAGCCTTTCCTAACTTCAGCCTAGCATCAGGAAAGCTTTCAAGCAGCTAGTTTGTTGATCCCTCTTTGCTCAAAAATGTATCCTTTGAGAATAAAGAGCTTTCATGAAGGAGGTTGGAAAGGTTTGGTGAACAACCGTTAATGGCCATGATAATCAAATGCTGTAGGGGTGTTTGTGCTATTAAGTATACTTTATTCTGTTAAAGAGTAAAGTATTTGTAAATGAACCTATATCATAAATCCACCTACAATTTAAAAATCCCTGGTGTGAGGAGGGAAGATTTTTTTTCCTCTCCCTTTTCTTAGAACAAATGGGGAGTGGGGCTTTTGGATTGAGGCCCCATGCCTTGTAGGGTACATCTCTTTGTTGTGTAAATGGATGTTGGCCTTTTATTTGGCAGTACTTAACACATGGGCGCAGGTGCTGCTGGATGAGTCACAGCTCATCGAAGTATACACTGAATGGAATATCTGGCTTGGCAAGTAGTAATCTAGAAGGAGCAGCATGGGTCTTGAGCTTTTTATTTTTTATTAAGGCTGAAGTAGAGATACCATCTTTTTGGTTGTTTGCCTTCCTTCTTTCCTATGTTCTTCCCCCTCCTTCTCTTCCATGTGATACATGAAAACTCAAATTTGAAATCCTCTTTGAAACTCACTTCCAGATGGATCTGAGTTTTATGCAGCCTAGGGCAGCTGTGCTCTGAACCTGCAGCTTACCTGGAAGGTTGGATTGCAGCTGCAGGCATTCTTAAAAGCTTTTGCTTGCATAAGCACTTGGACCCACTAGAGGCTGAATAGCTGCTTGATAAACAAAATGAACACAATGCCTCAAATCATTATTCCCAAAGACAGGATTTTTTTTTCAGCGACAGCTAAAAATAGTTGGGCAATTTACATTTTAACAGTTGTGTGCTGTGCAGGGGTAGGTGGTTCAACAGCATAACATGATTTCTGCTAGATTAACGGAAGTCATATTTAAAACTGACAGAACAGCTAAAACATGTAACTGCGATTTTTTTGGTAATTTGTTACTATAATTCTATGAGAGTAATAGAAGTTAAATTACATATTAATATTTAGTATAACTGCACAGGTTTTAAAAAATACCAGATTAGTAAATGAAAAATTCATCTCATTTCTTTGCCTGACATTAATTTTAAGAAACAGTATATTTTTGTTGTTTCATAGTTCTTTCATTTTTAAAACAAAAGGGCAAAATGGACAGAACAACCTGGAAAAAGAATAAACACTGGAGGTCACCAGTGTTCCTTGCAATCCTAATCAAAACAGCATTCTCTACCTGGAGGTAATTCTCTGTATTGTCTCAGGTGTTAAGGATGAACCAAGGAGAGGGGGAAAGCCAGTGAATTCTCATGAAACTGATTTCTTTGAGAACCATTAGAAAATTTCACAAGTCAAGCCTACTTATATATTGTATTACTAGCTTCTTTACTTGGGATTTATTAGATATTTGTATAGAAAATATTAGAAATTATTATTTTCAATTCTGTACTTAACATCAGCAGCAAACATGATCATACTGCTTTGAAACCATGCTGAAAATAGTATTTAAATGTATTGAATGTTATTAAGGATATATAAATGATAAATGCATTTTAATTAGAAGCATATTTTAGATTAAATGCTATGTTGAAATCTCAGGTTTTTAAAAGAGAATTTTTTTAAACTTTAAAAACTGGTACTTTGATAAATGATACCAAAATAATAAACTGAGAACACTTATCGTTACACTACTTACCTTTTCAGTGTCTAAAACAAATGGAATTTAAAGTAAAGGTTTTCTATTTGGATGCTTTTACTGAAATATATGTAATTCATAGGGCTTTATCAATGTGAATTATTTTTTAAAAATGGGTATAAAAATGAAAATGGACTATGTATATTTTATTTCATGATCATTTGAATATACTTCCCAAACTAGAAACTTGACCGTAACATCTCAGATTTCACAGTTTTCTGCTTGTGCAGTCAACCTTTAGTGATCTGTAAAATACATGTTACCTTTACTAAAAAAAGAGTGAAAGAGCTAGGTTGGTATCATACTGCTCACACCACTACAGAGAACAACAGGCAGTGTTACTTAACATGCAAAGCCATGATAATCTACATAATTTGACCATAGACCATTGGTTAGAGGCCCTTTCTTTTTCTAATCCATGATATGTATTTAGGTATCATAATTACAAACCTCAGCTCCCCTATTCCTCACTGCAGAACAACTGAATGGTAACTTCTGTCTGGATGAAGGTCCGATAACAGTGTATTGACATTCTTAAAGCAGTATGGTCACTAAGGTTAAGAAAATGGTCTGTTCAAATCTGCTGGCTTAGTTATTGATTGATTGTATGACCCTGGACTTGTCAGTTAGCCTTAGGAAGTTTGAACTGGGAAATCTAAAGTTCCTTTCATGTCTAAAATGTTACATTCTTAGGGTTTTAAAATTAATATGCTCTATACATAACCAAAAGGTGTAATGGGCATAGTTTTCTTCCTACCGATGAAAAAATGGTGTTCTTTAAGCACATTACATTTTCCACTTGTTTCTCTAGACAGGTTGAAATATTGAACAAAGTGAACTTCTGTAGCAGCAACAGTAGAGCGATGCCTGGACATTGAATTCGAACATACAAGCACACCATCATTGCCTGCAGGGAACTAGTGTGAGAAACAAGCATTTAGTGAATTAATTACGTGTATTTCAGTGAGGCAAGTAAAGGTGTGCACCAAGTACTCTGGAAACATAGAGTAGGTAGAACTAACTCTGCCTTGGGAAGTACTAATGGCCTCAGGAGTTGACATTTGAACTCTGGGAAGATCAGTAGCAGTCGATACAGGTAAAAGGCATAGGCATGTAAAAAAATAAACACACTCTCAGGCCACATCTAGAAGTACAGCATTATTGAGTTCTGTACCAAATATAACCTTTATGCTTTTCCTGTAGCAGACCCGCTCTCCCACTCCAGAGGAAGATTGAGGAACACATAAGACCAGCTCAGATACGAAAAGAGATAAATTGTCATAGCAGTCTACCCTGGATAAAAGCCTAAAGTCTCCTGGCCTATAGATAATAGGAGGCATTTGTAGTTGTTAAGATTATCTGGGAGTCTTTCTGAAGGTATGGGTGTGCTTTGACTTTGCAGGATGTTTTCTTTCCTTTTTAGGGCTCCTGAACCTCCCCTCTCCTTCTCTAACCACCAACTCTAGTCTTTGTTCTTCGTATATACACAAGCTGTTTTTCATCTCTATCAAATTTTTACTGAGATAAAACATTTAAGGAAATTTTGAAACACTGGGTAGGGATTGCGAGCAACTGTGATTTTTTTTCCTAGTAATTTGTGGGAAAAAGTGAAACATTTGCATTATATTTGTTAGCATCCTTTACAGCCTCAATTTCACTGTGTTAGAGTAACACATATCTTACATGTGTGAGCATCTGTGCTAACCATTATCTGTATCATCTTAATCTTTAATCTTCACCACACCAATCTGTAAGATAACTATATCCTCTTCTTACAGATGAGGAAATTGAGACTCAGAAATATTAAGTAACTTGCCCAAGATTACACATACAGCCAAAGATTACAACCTAATTTAATATAGAAGACCATTTTCTTTTTCTTTTGAATGTTAAAACATGTTGTGTATCTTGGTGTACTCATAAGGTATCTTGGTTAGTATATTAAATTTAAAACAGTTTATTCTGTCAGTTATGTTTTTCTTGATCAAATTTATTAATTGCTTTGTTGTTTAAAGACCTACCACCATCTTGAAAGGATGACGTAGAAAAGCACAGACTTCCTAGTCAGGCAGATGGGTTTTTATCTGGCCTCAGCTGCTTTTTGTTTCGTAACCTTAGAGAAATTGCTTTTAAGTTCTCTGAACACGAAATATCTGTTTGTAAAAGGAGATAGTAATGTTTATCTCGAGTGTTAGTATGAGGGTATTATGTGCCTTACATGTGCCTAGTATATAATGGACACTCAGTAAATGTTCTTTCTTTATTTTTTTCTAGTTCCTACCACTATAGCCTGCAATTTAAAGGAATTTTAGCATTTCATGTTTACCGTTTTTTTTTTTTCTTGGCTGTGCCTCATGGCTTATGGGATTTTAGTTCCCCGACCAGGGATCAAACCTGGGCCCTTGGCAGTGAGAGCGTGTGAGTCCTAACCACTGGACCACCAGGGAATTCCCATACCATATTTTGTTGAAAAGCAAGGAAAAGTTTGAAAACATAAGGAAAGATAAATATTATGGTAAAAAAAAGTATTTACTTGCACATGTAATGTATGTGCCTGGCACATAGTGAGTAGTAAATTGTAGCTGCTATTGTTGTTAAGAAAGCATTTTCAGAAAAGGAACTTATAGAAGGAGGAAAAATTGATTGAATTAATTCCTGCCTAGAATTCATACTAATTAGTTTTGTCTTCTGAACTATCAAGAGTCTATGCTTT